GATTGCCCCTAAGCATAATCTCCCCTGCTGGCCCCTCGTGGACATGTGCCAGGATAATTCTCTCAAAAAGCTTACCCAGGATCAAGGTAAAACTAACTGGCCTATAGTTCCCCGGGCCCTCCTTCCTCCCTTTTTTGAAGATTGGAACCACATTGGCCCTCTTCCAGTCCTCTGGCACCACATCAGAGCACCACAAGTGCTCGTAAACCATTTCTCTGTGATCCCCTTAGCTGTCAGCATTGCCCATGGCTGAATCATTGCAAACACCCTCTAGTCAGAAAAGAAACTCCCACATGGGTTCTCACCTGTGATTTCCAGGGGGAACTCCTCCTGCTGGGGCTGCTTCAGTGCCAGGTGTTGGACATGGCAAAAGACCCTGCCAAAGTCACTCTGGGTGGGAATGAAGGTATAGGCCAGGGTGACACTGAAGGTCCCAGCTGGGTTTCTTTGGGGAGTGGAGTGAGTGGAGCTGTTCAGCACCTGCCCATCTCTCAACCACACTATTTTCACATCGTCAGGGAAGAAACCCTGCACTGGCACAGAAGAAAGGTCTCCACACCAGCTACAGCTAGTGGTCTTGAAACAGAAATTCCTGGGGCAACTAGAAATGAGAAAATGCAACAGCCACAGTCTTATCAAAGAGACCCCCAGCTTGGACAAACACAGTGTCAGACCCTAAGCACAGCACATGCAAGGGAACTACCCAGTGTGACATCATAGTTGGGAACGTAGCCCACCAAGAGGTGGGAAAAATCAAGGCCTGTCCGTCTTCAGTGAGGGCCGGGCTGCCATGGACCTGTGTTTGCAGCTCCTACAATTGTGTCTGACTGCAAATGTGGGTTCACAGTAGGGCTGTGAAAACTTCAGTTCCCGATTTGATTCAGCAGAGATTTGGCTTGATTCGGTGGCCAAATCTCCGAATCCGAATTGAACTAGAGGACCCTTTAATCTCTCCAAAGCGAACCAGAACCCTCTGAATCAATTCAGAGGGATTCAGAAAGATTTGGGGGTTAGGACATAGACACAGCTTTAAATGTTTTTTTCTACATATCTCTAGGTAGCAGGCGGCTCATCAATGCTGTGATGCTGGGGCAGATGGAGCGTCCCACAGGAGCACAGGGGGGTCCCCAGCACACTTGGCAGCAGACCCAGAAGTGGACCAGAAGCACTTCTGGTCCACTTCTGGGTTTGCTGGGGAGCATGCTGTGCCCCCCCGCCCCCCACATGCTCCCCAGCTTGGTGACTGGTGCCTCCTGGGTCTGGGGGGGCACCCAGGGTCCCCCACAACCAATCGCCAAGCTGGGGAGGGCCCCCAATGCACTCCCCGGCAGACTGGGAAGTGGACCGAAAGTACTTCTGGTCTACTTCTGGGTTAGCCACTGAGCATGTGGAGGCCTGCCCACCCGCCCCCAGCACTCCTGTGGGACGCTCCATGTGCCCCAGCATCGCAGAGTTTATGAGCCATGCTGGTACCTCGAGGTATGTAGAAAAACATTTAAAGCTGTGTCTATGTCTGAATCACTGATTTTCTGAATCAGCATCAAATCTTCAGATTTGGATTCAGCAGAATCTAATCAGGGACAGTGATCGGAATCAACAAATCAAATCAGTCCCCAATTTGGGCCGAATCCCAATCCCAATCGAATAGGGCCCATGGGGGAAGCTTGTGTGGAGTCCAAGGACCCACCAGTGACCAATAGGTGCAGCTCCTGCTCCTCCTCCTTGGGTGTGTGGATGAGGCTGCAGACAGCTCCCAGTATCCTTCAGGCTCATATCCTGCAGTTCCCCTGGCCCAGCACCTCTGGGAAAAGCCTGGACCCTGGGTGGTACAGCTGTACACCCTTGAGGTTCTTGGCCAGGCACTGGTTCCCCGCATCCACTTTAGGTAGAGCTGATTCAGCTGGATGCTCTGATTTTGGACAGCAAAGTGGCATGGCAGCAGGGCGTTGGCACCCCCTGCAGCCTGCACTGGACCAGCTGAGCCTCTGTGTGGGGAAGCATTGTGAGAGGCAGTGACTCACCACACTGCACCCAAGGGGGAACCACCAGGGCCCTTCTGGTAGGGAGGGGATCTGGACTTACCTGCTGTCTGAAGGAAGAGGAGGGAGAAGAGGAGGAGACAAAGAAGGAGGAGAGCCCCTGCTCCATGGGCCTCTGTTCTCCCCACCCCCTGAGAATCACTGTCTCTTGCCTTTGCCAGGGCCAAAGGGCACAGCACTGTTCCCATCACAGGTATTGACTTGGGTGTTACAGATTCCTGATGCCAGCTCAGCAAGTCCCCTCTGTGTGCCCCTTCCAGGGTGGTGAGATGCTGCATGGACCCCCTCCATGTTATGAGGTAAGGCAGATGGAGGGGGGCACAAGACTGGTACTGCCAGCCCCACCCCAGCCCACATGGCTGCTTTCCTCATTGAGGAAGACAAGGCGGGGAGAGGGGTGAGCCCTGCCCTGCCCAGCTCCCCCAGCCCAGGAGACGGGAGCCCAGGATGGCACAGGGACTTGGGGGCAGAGTCTGAGGCAACAAGAAGGAGGGACTACAGAGCTGGGGGGGCGTTCCTTGGGGGCCATGATTTGGGGATGACCCCAGGGGGATATATGAAATGGAAGGGGAGGGGTCACTCACTATCCCTCTCAAGGAGCAGGATATTCCAGTTGTGGGACTGGGCATGGGCCCAGTTTCTGGCCACCTTGAAAAAGCTCCTGGAACACAGGAAAGGGAGTGATGAGGTGTCAGGTAGCACCCTCCACACACCTCAGTTGCACCTCCCCTGCCACTGGCTGCACAGGGCTGGAGGGGGTTGAGGGAGGAAGGACCTGAGCATAGCTCCTCCATGGCCCAAACCCCTCCAGCACCCCACCTTGCCACCACACATCAGCTCCAGACCCCTGCACCCCATGCTTCAGAATGCCAACACCCTGCCCTACTTCACAGCCCCCACACCCTCCGTGCCATACCTCCAGCCCTCCAGGACCAGGGTTTTCCCAGCCCCAGAACCACCACCCCTCAGCCCCCCTGCACACTGCTCTGTCTTGTCCCCCTGCCCCATCAGTGAACCCCTGTCTCTGCACAGCCTCCCCACACTTGTCCTCACCCTGCCCCTCCTCCAGTGAATCCCTATATCTGCCTGCCTCCCCATCTGCCTCCAAACCTCCCCCCATGCTCCCCCCAGCCCCTATTCGTCTCTCACCTTCCAGTATACCTCCTCCCAGCCCCCCACAGCACAGAGCCTCCCCCATCTACCCCCACCATCCCTCTGTCCCCCCCAGTGCACCCCATCTCCAGCTGCTGCAGCCCTGAAGGAAAATGGGACCACAGAGATGGTGGAAGTGGGGGGCCAGGTCCCCCCTTGGATGGGGGGGGATCCACGAGGAGTCTCTGGTGTGTGAAAGGAGACCTGGGGGGCTGTGTGGGGGGAGTCTTTTCATCTTCCCTTCTTTCTCCCTCTTCCTTTCTTCCACCAGAAAGGGAACAAGTCTGCTTTTAACTGCTTGTGAGAATCCCTCACATGTACAGCCAGGAAAACAAACACTTTTCCTTTTTGATTCTCTGCCAGTTTCCATAATGTAGCAATTTGTTCCAGTTGACATTTTTGACCAATGCAAAACTTAGAAAGAAAAATTACGTTGGTGCAAAGGGATGATTTTTCCAACTTTCAAATAGTTTTTAATTGTTTAAAAATAAACCTGAAGGAATGTTAGAAACAGTGTGTTTTGCATCCAAATGACTATCAGAACCTGTCAGTTTTCAAGTGTCAAGAGACAACAGTTTGAAAAGGGAGGTATTTCTTGGTGTTCCTTTTAAGCAAATTATTCAGTCAAACCTAGAATTCAGGGAAGGTTTTGTTGTTGCTGCAACTTGCAAAAAAAAGTTTTTGTCCATTAAGTTTTGCCTTGCTGTATTCACAAGGAAGTGGAAGGGCAACCCCAGACTGGAGCATGGAAAGGAAGGGTATGGAAGGGTAGGGAGTTGCTCTCCAGGATCAATGCTGGAGCCCTTCTCAAACATGTCAAAAACTGAGGGCTTGAAAGCAACCTCGAAAGGGATGCCTGTGATCAGTCTCACTAGCAAACTTCAAGGGTTTGGAGTGTTCCTGCAGGGAGGGTACAAGTGGGCAGGATGTGCTTAGGCCCATTCTGGCCATGATGCACTATTGCCATAGGATAGACAAGTCCTGACCCACCCGTCCTATCTACCTAAAGGTAAAACAACACCCTCTACTAGTTAGGGGCTGGAGCTGACTCAAGTTCTGAGTCAATCAGACAGCAACTCAGGGAACCTAGAGCAGTGGAGCCAGGTGAACTAAAATGGGAAAGAAGCTAAATTCAGACAAGCGAGTCAGAGAGAGGCCAGTGGATATCCACAAGGAACAGTGGAAATGGCTGAACCTAATTGTGGAGCAGGCTGGAGAGGAAGCACTAACTTGAGATATAGAAAGAAGCAAGGGGAAGCTTCTTGGATTTTTTTAAACCAGTGCTCAGCATGCACAGCACAGCATACAGGAACTTGACTGAGGGGGACATGAAGTTTCTGTTCATAAAAGCTTCGTCACTTTGTCTTTTGTTGGTCAGAATTTGAAAATAGGTAGGTAGGAGTGAGTGAGTGTGTGCGTGTACTCAGGTTTCTGTATTTTCTAACTCACCCTTACCACACCCCTCTCCAGCTAGCAAAACAGAACCTGTTTCTTGACATATAGTGTAGTAGTATATGTAACAAGTTATGCTTGCTGTAAAGAAACTAAGAGAAATCTACCTTTTAGTTTCTTAGACTTGAAACCCAGTCCCACACCATCATTCCCCAAATTCTCTGAACAGTACATTAGTCTGTCTCAGTTCTTCAATTCCTAGGGATGACATGGCAGTCAAAGCTAGAATAACAAAATAGATGAAGCAGGGGTCTTATTTAAGAGGGCAATTTGAATGCTCAGCAAACCTTTGTTTAATTTTATTTCCTTGAGGGCTGGCTTGGCTACTGGGATAGATTTCCATCTGCATCTAGCTGTGTACCCTTCTAAATTATGTGGCAGAGCTTCATCAACAGTAGTGTTGTGGACTAAGTACACAAGAAAGGCAGAGCCTATCAAATTAGCTTAGTTAGCAAAGCCTCTAGCCATTGTACAGAAACCTTTTTCCATCTGACACATTGGCTGAGCTGAAATACATGGCAGCAGTTTTCTAGGAGAGAGGCAATCATTTGCTTTTTTCATTTCTTTTCTTCTGGCTCCACAACCTCAACAGTGAGAATCTGTTCCCCACTTTGTGGGGCAGGAGTCATGCGGAAAGAGACCGAATCATCTCCCGTCACAGTGACAACTTCCTCAGTTTGTTGTTCTTCTGACTTGCGGTGGGAGGCCAATGGGGATCGATGGTGCATTGGTGATTTTGGTGGAACTGGAGCGGAAGCTGCCTCCTGGAAGATACAACAAACAAAGTCAAATTTACAAGGCCTTAATCCATGATCACACCCTATTGGCCACTACTACTGTTGATTAATTCTTAATGCTTAGTGTAGTCTGGCAGAGAAAACAGGATGTCAAGAGTGTTTGCAGCATCGGAGCTCTTCACTAGGATTTCACTTTATTGGTGTGTGGTTGAATTTTGTTTGTAGGGGAAGATAAATTACATGCTCAGGAAACACATTGGAATCAGTATCACACACAACTTCTGTTACAGAGATTAGTCATTACATTTCAGTCCTTTTCGGAAATAACCAAGGGATTTATCCTGGTAACATTTTGCAAAAATATGTTGTCAGTGGGCCTCAGACACCAAATGATTATCTAAAAGTACAGGTATTTACAATGAGAGCTATTAAAAAGAAAATGCAATCTTCAAAAACTGATAGAGGATTATAAAAGCCCATACTAAACTAATGTAGACTATGAAAGGAAGCTGGAGTTCTTGGTAAATGCATCACTTAGGGCATTTATTTTTGTGGTGGCTATCCAGAATGTGTAGTAAATCAGCAGCATTTCTGTTTGCTGCTGCTTTTAACTGTTTTTAAATTTTTGTTATCATGTTTAATTATCTGAAGCCTCACTTCTATGAAAGGCAATATAGACCTGGATTTCATTGTTTTGTCTCTTTCTGGATACTAATATGGTCCATTATCAGAGTTCTGAATGCCTGTTGGTGTTTCAATACCTGTGCTCTACTAAGAAAAGACATGGATATATTAAACAGACATTTATGTTTAATTAAATGTGGCTCCTTTTTTAGTGTTTGACCAGGAAAGCAAACCAGAAAATGTGAATATTAAGACTTCTAATTTCTTTGGTTCTATTCAAGTCTGACTTACTGAATTTGTAGAATATCAAAATGCAAATCCAGTTAAATGAATAATGCTAAAGATTTAGATGGATATAATTCCCTGTAGATACTGGATATTTGGTTCTACATTTGACCATTATTTTATTATATGGATTAACTCTGAGTAGCTCTGAATCTTATGAAGTAGAGGTTTTGTTATGTGGATATGTACACAGTAAAACTAGACTGTCACCTAACATTTTCTCATAATTAGAAGCTCCAAAGGTGAAAGCTAATGTGTTTATCCTTTTGGGCCACACTACAAGCTGATGCCTGCCAGCTACTACACCTTCCTTGAAGGCTGTCTTTAATTCACCTACGACCACTTTTCTGTTTGTTTCAATCACTCTAAAACTTAGTCTGCCTTTATGTGAAATGTAATAGAGGTCTCAGTTCTGTTCCTTAAGAACTGACTTTATAAAACCATGATTATTACCAACAGCTGACTCCTTTTTTTGATTGTGGCACCAGAAAAGCAAACCCAAAAAGCAGACTGGGTTTGTTATTGTTCAGCCGGAATATACATTCTGTGCTACACCTTGCTCAGCCTATTAGCTGTATTACAAAATGATCATCCCATTGTGAATGAAAGAACAAAAATTCCCCTCCTTTGTGCTCACCTGCATTTCCTGCATTGCTTTCAGCTCTTTTAGTTTCCACCTGATGTGGGCAAGCTTTCCTTTCCTTGCCATCTTTCCTGCAGCTACCAGAGCCGCTTGGAAGAGTTTAGGTGTCCCAGGTCTCGGTGGAATGATGAGCGTCTCTTTGGGCATTCCTTTTTCGTCTTTCTGTTTATTGTTGTTTTTCAGCATTTTCCTAGAGCAAGAAAGAAAACTAGTTGTGTCTGGGAACATGCCATGCTAAATTCATTTTCCAACACAAACAGATTCAATTTTGTAGCAAACAAGGAAGGTATTCTTAAAACTTTGGACTTGGTTGTGGGTTAGAGCTGGGAAAGGGAGGCAAAAATAATCTGAATATTTTGTTCACATTGCTACATGCATGGGTAGTCAGTGCTCCCAAACAGTTCATACAACATGGGAGCTAACCAGTAATACAGTGTTGTTCAAATCAGTTCATGAAATAAATGCAGTCACAACCATTATTTGTAGAAGCAAACTTCAAATGTATACACACAAACATGAATTACAGGCACTCTTCATATATGTTTTTATCAAAGGTAAAACTTGGCCTGACTAGCAAAGAATAATCTTCTAAAAGATGTAGGGACAGCCAAACTGCTTGACACATTTAAAATGAGGCTGTACAAAATATTAGTAAACAGAAAATACTTCTACAATATTGGGGTGGGGAGTTGAATTAAATGACCCAATTAATCTTTTCCAACTCTAGGATTTAAAATGATCTGCTGAAACCCTCTAGGATGAAATACAACTATGAATTAGGAAAGGAAATTAACAGCCATCTTCTACATATTAGCTTCAAGCTACCTCAAAGAGCACCCTCTAGCTTCTACTCAAATTATTGGAGATTCGGCAGATTTTTTTTCAAGTCCTGATGAGGTTTGAGTCTGTATAACTTACAAGAACTGATTCAACTAAACCCCCTAAATGTGTGCGCACATGTACGCACGTGTGTGTGTATATGTGTCTGTGTGTGTAGTGTGTTTACCTTGTGTGCAGCCCCAAAGATGCACCTGATTTCTCTCACTCTAAGGTTTGTACCATGTCTAAATATCGATTACATATTACAAATGACACTTCAAAAAACAATCTGTCACTCACTTTGCTTTCTTACGCAGAAGCTTCTCTGAGTCAGGATAATGCACCAAAATTTCGCTCAAGTCCTTCTTATCCAGAATGAAAAGATTAGCGAATCCATGAGCCACAACATTTGCTGTGCGGCGATTTCCACCTCCCACTGCCAGCAAGCTAATTAAAACAGCAAGAGAGGTTAATTTAAAACCAGATGAGCGACAGGGTTTGCTTCTGTAAATAAGTTGTCTACATATTCAGCGCTTGCCTTCTACCAACGATTCTACCAACAAGGACATTTTTACATGTCTGGTATTTTAAGTGAGGGGGGGTTGTGAAACAGTAATATAAAAGCCTCTTTTTAAAAAAATCATTATTGTAATTTTGTAACTATGATGACATAAAACAAGCTTCATACAGAAATGGCTATAGAAAAAGCAACCACAGACTCACCAATCAATACAATAACTCTAAGCAGTTATGCACAGGTATTAACTATGCAAACAACAATAGGCATTATAGTTCACATCCTACAAGGAAAGCAAAGACCTTTATTGGGGATTGTCAGTGTTATGGCTCTACTTTTCCAATTGTCACAGCACAGCATGCAGATCTTTGCTAACAGAGATGTGTAGGTTTTTGTAATCATATTCCACCTATAACTAGTATTTCTGTTTCTTCTTGAAGTTGGCTGACCTGAAGAGCTCATTATAAATGCATGCTTTTCCTGATAACCAGGAACTACTGTCATCTCACTTTACACTTTGATCTCACATTTTCAGCCACATGGATTCCCTACCTGCACAGGTCAGGTGGTTTAGAACAGTAAGCTTGCAAGATTTCTTTTCACCTAACGTGAGAAAGGGGTGATCCAAGTCAGACTAGAGAATTCTCCATTTTCTTCGGTTTATTTCAAAATCAACAATACGCTTACTGAGGAGTTTGGCTTTTAAGATTGAATAAAGATGGGGTCACACAGATTTTCAACCAGGGTACAGAGGAGACCCGCCATTTACAATCTAAGTCTCCACAGTGAGATCACTAATCCTTTCATCTGACAAGGCTCTCACAGGACCCTTTCAATGCTCTTCAGCTGGGCAGGAGGGTGATGGTGGTAGTTTGATCTGATGGGGGTTTTTTTCCTCTCTTTTTCCTCCCCTCTCCCTGCCCCCCCCACAAGTTGAGTCTTGCTTCTGCTACTGTCAGAGCACCAAGTCAGCTCATATCATGGAAGCTTATGAACAGACACCACTGGTGTCTGATCCCTTTCGATGACAGCAGAAACTAGAACCCAGTGGTGTATCTGCCTTTCCCACCTGTGCTTAGCTCAACTTCTGCTATATATCCTCAAATTCCCTCTAATCCCAGTTGTCCTTCCTTTGTTTTCATGACTTCCCCCATCGATCCCTCCTCTGACCTGATTTCTCCAAACACCGACCCAGGTTTCAGTGTCACAAGCACAGTTTTGCCATCAGGTCCTCCAAGCACCTGCACCTGTCCAGCCTGTATAATGTACATCTCTCGGCCAATTTCCCCCTAAAATAAAGATTAGAACAAACTGTGGGGCATGCAGTTGTTGCACTGATACACTCCAGAAAGAAGGGATGATCAAATACAAAAAATAGGGGGACACTGTTCCTCCAGCTCTCTTTTTTCACAGTATTTTTTCTCTCTCATATTATTCTATCCTATTTCCTCTTAACTGTTACTGTTACTAATGGCAACCACAGCTATAGTAAAAATAAATCTGTTCCAAATCAGGTTTTTATATTAATATTTTTACACCTAAACCAACAGAGGGCACTCATTGCACATTATAACCAGCATCAACAACAGTATGTGACATTTTTGGTATGAATTCCCTTACAAAAAGGTGCATCCTTCCTGTCCTGTTTTGTTGGCCACATCTTTCTGCCTCAGATACCTCTCAGAAAGTGTGACCCAGAGAAGGCAAAAGTGACAACTCTGCTCTACCTTTGTGCTTCTTAATTTTGTGTAGCAATGGTTGCAGCTTCTGGTGTAAGTTAAAAAAAAAACATTTGTGGAGGCTGCACTAATTACAGTAGTCTGGCATGACTGCCTATGGGCTGCTCCACAGTCAGGAATATCAGCAACACTTCCCTCATCTTTCCCATTCTCACTCCCATAATACCTCCCTCTTGATCCTATTCACACCCTCAGTAGTACCCCCATACACACTGTCTATGCAGAAAGGTAGCATATGCTTGCATATATCGACCATACGCTGCTGCCTCCATTGGCTGAAGTTCCAAAAGGACCTTTATGGTCAATTTGTGCTGGAACAGTATCAATAGTGGCAACCAGAATATGCTCCTGTCTCTTTCAACATGTTTTCCCCTGCCAAATGTATAAGGTAAAAAAAAATATACCCCACACCCATTCAAATAATTTGATGATGAGCTTCTGCAGCTGGCCTGTCTCTCCCTTACCCTAACATAGCATCACTCTACTTTCAATTCTTTTAAGAGAATTTGTTTAAAGAGGAAATGCTTGTTACCTTCTTACATACGTAGTCATGAGGTAAGTAAACAACAGACTTGAGCCTCTTCAGCATGTCAAAAATCATCTGCCGATCACAGCCCTGAACCAAAGACAAAGAAGGAAGAATCATTATTTAGTGTGTGGGCACATGTCCAAATTTAACTCATGTCAGAGCTGAGAAGGTTGGCAGTACCTGGAAGAGCGCCACCTTACTGACTATAGCATAGTTCACATCAATGGCAATATCCAGCCTCATCTTTTCAGGTAACTGCACCAACAGCTCGGTTTCATCTGTCACATTGGGATAGAAAACAAAATGCTGGTGACTTGCAGAAATTTGCTGGCCTTCAAGTATGGGTCTCAGTGCACAAGTCAGTGCAGAGTAATAGCCATTAAGAATCATGGCTTTCACATTTATACCTAGGAAGCAGGAAAATCTACAACAATGACCTAGACTGTCCAGAGGAAGAGTGTATTTCTTTTAAACAACAATCTCCTTTGGATTCTACAGAGGTTGCTACGCATGATCACTACAACTGGAGCTCTATGCTTTTTTGATGACTACCTGGCTGGACTCATTTGAGTCCAGTCTTTTCTCCCGCCCAGGCTGGGGGTCAGACTTGAAGATCTACAAGGTCCCTTCCGACCCTACTTCTATGATTCTATGATTCTATGAAAAGTTTGTTGGCAGTAGAAGGCAACTCTTTGCAGATGGATCCTGTCAAACCACAGGGATTTCAATATACAGGTAAGTATGACCCCATCAGCTTGATATTGCAACATTCTTCTGAGAAGGAAGTTGGTCCAGGAGTGAGTGGAAACCAATATGATGATTGAATCTGAGAGAACCAGCCTGCCAGGAAGGTTAGGGGGGCAACTTGGGGAATAACATGGAAACACTTGTGTAAATTCAGGTATAATCAACTACAGAGGCACAAAGCTGCAGCACTGCTCTGCTTCTCCATTTAGTGGAAAGCCCATGTTTTCCTGTGGTTTTTCCAAAAGAGGTGATTTGACAGATTATTTCAGTTCAACTAATTGCACTGGTAGATAGGGGGTTGAAAACCTAAGAGCAGCATGCTATTGTATGAACATTCGGGTTCAACAAAAAGCTAGGAATTTGAATCCTGGTAGTGGCATATCATGTATAGACAAAAATGGACATAGGCTCCATAGAAGCCTAGAAGTATGGGCAAAGAAAAGCAGTGAGAAAAAAATGACCCCTCTCCTTATCCCCTTCCTCTCCCTTCTACTCGAAATGGTTGGGGATGGGACCTTCAAGCTGTGCTGCCACTGCCTCTGCAAAGTGGCTGCAGTGCCTTCAATGTATGGGTTTAACTGAAATATCTAAGTGCCACTGGGCACATCTACATGACACGTTACAGCAATGTAGCATCAGCGGGCATGAACCATGATGCCAATGCTACTGTGCAATAGCTTCAGAAACAACCCAGGCAGCGCTGGAACTGTGCAGTACTAGCAGTTACTACAGTCAGGTGCATGTGTAGACATTCCCAGTGACAGCTAGAATGGGAAATAGGCAGCCATGTCTCTTGTTTTTTCTCCAAATAACTGAATCTGCAGTTGGTGCTGATAATAGTAATCAGCATTTTAGCTGCATGCACAAACTGTTGTTCACTTAGTGAGAACACTGCCATAAAAAAAACAGAAAGGCGTGAACTTGAAGTAATATTGGCAATAATCCTACACACAGCGTGTTCTTACCTAGCATGCCTTGTGACTGCCATGTGTATTCATACCATGTTTTGACCCGGTTCTGAACAACTCTGGGAATTCTGTAGAAGTTCATGTACTTAATGGTACTGTCCATGCAACTCCGATAATAAGTTTGTCCTGCTGTAGCGGCACCAACTACATCTCTCATCTGGGTTGGAGGCAGGAGTACAAAACAAAGGAAAAGCATTTATTCCTTGTTACTTAGAGTTGCTGAGGATTCTAAAGACTCCACACCTAGTTTCTCAGGCTGAACACATGTTGTGGATTGTCACAGAGATTTTTAGCATCTGCATGCTCTGATTTAGAACATATTTGGCATTCTGCAAGTCAGGAGCCTTTCTGTTAATAAAACAAATTTTGAAATTACCCTGACACTGTGGGAGGAAGTTGAAAAGTGCGGAGTAGGCTTTTATAATCAAAGCATCATTTCAGAGGAAGAGGCATTAAAAAGAACACACACTGTCAATTTACAGTACAGGGAATGGACAACGGGGTGATTATTCGCCTACCTGACCTATCATAACAGAGAAGGCAAAGACTCCCGTGAAGTAGTTCACAAGCTGGAAGACTATTTCAAACAGAGTTCGAGGGTCTGGGAGGCCTCCAATGGTAATCAGGGTCTTGACAGCCCAGTAATAACAGCGGATATAACTACAAGGAAAAGAAAGAACAATGCTTCTGTGAGTTTCCTGCAGCATTACCTACTTTTTCCTATCAGATTGCATGGGCACACTCATCCAGTCTGGAGTCTTTTGTCTCTAGTGTTGGGGGTGAACTAATGAGCTTAAATCTCTTTCCTTCAAAGATAATGTTCTTGGAAATCCCATGGAAACAAAGAGATTTAGCATTTACCTAGAAATCTCCATTTGTTAGGTAAAGTTATCCAACTGGGTTCTCTTCCCCTCTTTATCAGTAACACTAATAGCAAACTGAAAAAAGCAGTCACCCACATTTTGTGTGTGTGTGTGTGTGTGTGTGTGTAGGGTCATTTATATTTTTATATATATATATATATATATATA